CTTTGGGGACAATGTCGAGGTCCCCTTTTGGGTGCTCAAAGAAGGATGGAGGGAGAAGACGTTGCTTAACATCTACAACCCCCTTTCAAAGGTTTAGGTGGGCCCTCAGTTGCCAGGCAGCTAAAAGGGAGTAAAATAAGATGAAACAGAGGTATGAAAGAAAGCACAATTCCGTTCCTTCCATCCAGGGGCAGGTGCTGGCGCAGGAATTATATTGGCCCACCTTTAAAACAGTTTAGGGGCCTATGCAAATTTTAAGTAATTATTGATGTAAATTATGTGGTGTCCCTTGATAAGACCCCAAAAACTAAAACTTACCACATTAATAATTAAAAAATTTTTTATCACCAGTAAAGTCCCCGTATGACTCTGTCCTCTTCCTTGAGGACGACTCGACTCTTTGACCTTTTTTCTGAAATTAATGTCAAACTTTCCCAAAATCTGCCTCTCAAAACCCCCAGCAAAAAGTTTACTGCCTTTCGTATCCCCGATATTTTTTGGTGTGCGAAAAAATGTACGTTTGGTTATCATGATGTGTGTGGGGAAATCTAAACCTATTTAAAATCTCCCTTACAGAGTAAACCTGAAAGTAGAGGCACTTCCAGGTGGGAGTATTTTGTTAGGCTTGGGTTAGTGGAGGAGTCGTCTAGCCGTGGGCTTCACCCTGATCCTTGTTAAAAAAAGTGATGGAGGGTTTCGTTGGTCAGACTACCGTAAGGTGAAAGAGGTCACAATCAAGATGTTCCCTCTTTTTCGTCTGGGGTGACGTAATCGACTTTGTGGGTAAAGGTACTTTTGTGTCAAGTTAGATCTCCTTAAAAGGTTATATCAGGTACCCTTTTATGGATAGGCGAAAGGGAAAACTTGCCTTCATAATTCCCGGTTTATCAATATACAGTTACCCCCTTTTGGAATGAAAAAAACTCCCCCCCTTTCATTCCAGAAATTATCCATGGTATTAAAGGACTTTAAGGCACGGCAGCATACCTGGATGATATTTTTGTGTGGAAATTGGGGTCATCACCTATTTAGACTTAAGGACTTTTTGAGACCTTTTTGGGGTTTCCCCTTTAACTGTTGATTTTCCTAATCTTTATTTGGCCGGCCACTGTTAAATTTTTAGGCCATGAAGTAGGTAGTGGTAAAGTTTTCCTAAATTTGCTAAATTTTGCCCTTAAGATTATCCTTCCAAATGTAGGAAAATCTCTTAATGTTTTCCCAGGCTGATGGTTTTACAGAAGATTCTGTAAGAATTTTTCAGATGTTGTGCCCCTTTCCTTACCAGTCACAAAATTTTTTATTTGGATTTTAGTTGTAGGATGCGTTTTTACAGAGCAAAAAAATTTTGGTATGCACCATCTTTTTTCTCCAGCTTCTCCAAAACCTTTCCATTAAGGTTGATGCTTGGAGTCGGGGTTGGGGCAGTACTTTCAAAATGGGGCCAAAGGAGTTGGCCTGTAGCCTTCTTCTCTGCCCAAAAACCCGCCGAATCAGGGGCTTATCTACCCTTTTAAAAAGAAACCCCCGCGCTGGGACTGGCTTTGGAACCTTTGTTTTAATACGTGGGCAAAACTTCGCGGTGGTCAATGTCTAATAGGACCACAATCCTTAGTTATCTCCAAGCCCCTGAAGAACCATAATCGAGGTCATGAGTGGGTCTACGATGCAAACCTATTTTGAGAATTTTACATATTGCCGGGAAAGAAAATATGTTGGAGACTCTTTTCTAGGTCTAACATTATTTATAAATTTTATATTTGGGTTTGGATGTGTTAGGTTACTTGTGGAACCCCTTCCAAGCTTTTTTTTTGTCCCCTACTGTGGTTTTTTTTTTTTTTTTAGTGAGGGGTTTCGAGCTACCTCGCCCCAGTCTTGGACCTAAACTACCCCCAATGTCTGCTGTCTGCTCTAATTTGGGTTTGGTTTTTTTCACGGAAAACTGAGCTTATCTAAGGTTGGATGGTTGAGGGAAAGGCGATCCCATTTTTTTTGTGCTTGGCGGCCGGTTAACTGGGAGGTGGGAGCTAATCCTGAGCCTTTTGGGGGGGGGTGTGGCATGAAAGAGTACGTAACCCTTTATTTTGGGGCATGTACACACCCCTTTAAGGCTTCTCCCCAACCAGTAAAAAAGGGGATGAGGGTTGACGATGGGGCCCCCTCGCTCAACCAGACCCGGTTCCAGCCAATGAGAGAGGTTTTGGCAATCGCAGGGTTTTGTGGGTACCCCTCTCCTGTTGCCTTGTCATTCCCTTCTGAGCTGGTTGAAACCGGTTGCTATTTGTGGTTCTATTCTCCCCCGCTTACCTGCAGTGCATAATCCTATTTCTGTATTATGTAAACTTCTGTTCTAAATTGGAGAAGGATAAATAATCAAAAGTTTTTTTATAACAGGCCTTTGGACTCCCGGGTTGTAAAATAAGAATATAATAAAAAATTTTGACTTATTTCTAAGGATGAAAAATTCTCCAAATTTTTTAAAAAAAAGAATTTAATCAGTAAAAAATAGCACATTAAACTTAACAGTTAAAACTGAGAGAAAAAAATTCCTAAAAGGAAACAAACAGAATAAAATTATAAAATTGACCCGAAGAAAGCAAGAAAATTTAAACCTAACTCTTATTTCCCCATTATTACCTTTCCATCTTATTTCACTCATTATTACACTTAACTTTATTTCATCTTACTTACACTTAACTTTTATTTACACTCATTACTTCACTTTAAAATTTATTTCACTCATTACTTAACTTACACATCTTATTTACACTTTATTCCTTTCACATCTTATTTTCACTCATTTTTTAACTTACAATCTTTTTTACACTCATTACTTACACTTAACATCTTATTTACACTCATACTTACACTTACCATCAGCCGTTAAAAGGGTTTATGTCGTTCAAAGGGGTGCATTCTATTTAAGGGAAAGTAGGAAAAATGATAAACCCGTAGGAGTTAATTGCCCAAGGCACTTGACATATTAGGTTGCTCCAAGGGAAGGTGGGGATAAATCCAGTTCCTTGGGTATGGTCCCGCTCCGGTCAAAGGGACCCCTACTTTTGGAAAGCATAATTTGTTAAAATGCAAAAAATTATATCATTTATTCAAAGATTAAACGTGTCGGTACATTCCGTAAACAACACCAACTTTGTTAAGTGAAAGGACACAAATACAACTAATGTGACATTTTATTGTGGCAACGTTCGCTCTCCAGGAGCTTTATCAAGCTCTTACAAACAATACTCGGACACACAAGGTGAGTGAGGTGTAATACTAGTGGTAGTGGTAGTAGTAATAGTAATATTAGTTGTAGTAGTAGTAATACAATATGGTAGAGCAACCAATTTGCAAATAGGAAAAGGTTATAAAAGCTATTACTTGGGTAGTAAAACGTTTCCACAATAAAATGTCACATTAGTTGCATTTGTGTTATTTTACTTAACATATTGTGGGTAATTCTACCAATATTAATACAATAACTTTCTCATGTATACAGTTTAGAAAACTGACAGTGTTGAAATTCTTAAGCCAATCAGAATAGGCTGTCTAAAGTTATATTTTAAACCAATTTAGAGAAAGGCCTATACAAATCTGAGCAGAAGGCACCTGCATGTGATCAGAGTTGAAAATTTGAAGCTGATCGGAAAAGGCGTTCTAGAGTTGGGACTCGGATTCAGACTATTCCATTGTTTTTAAATTATTTACTATAATAACAAATTTGCTCTCACACAAACTAAACTTAATAGATACAATCCTGATTCTAAGATGAATCACTCATTAAATATTCCATCCTGACTATGACGAGTCACTCATTAAATATTCCATCCTGACTATGACGAGTCACTCATTAAATATTCCATCCTGACTATGACGAGTCACTCATTAAACATTCCATTCTCGCTCTAAGTTATTAAATACTGAAGTCAATCAGAGGTCTCAAATTTATGTAATGTGATTTAATGAGAATATAAATTCCACACTTTTTTACATGTAAAGTTGGCACATGTGCATCTTTCACTTAAATTTCACTCTCTGCCATTGTTGAACTAAGAGGCATTTTTATTAATATTCCAAGCTACACGGCGGAGGGCTTTGTAAATCATTAAGCTATTCCAGGATGCTGGGAATGGATTCAACAAATTTGGGCACAGGGTACATGTACATGCCAATTGTTCCTAGTTACTGCACATAAGTGTGGATATTCTAAAGCAAATTCGATTCGTTTCTGTAACCTCCGCTAATTACTGGCTGCCACAGCATTATGTTATTCAGGAAGCTGTAGCAAGTCTGATATTTAACTTTGATACAAGAAATGTCAACAAAATGTGTTAAATTTTCTTGGAACTTATAAAATATTCAGGCTGACTCAAGGTAATGTTTTTTGGGGGTGGGGGGCTATTCCTTGGTCCTGTGGACGTAGTCCACAGGATGGACGTAGCATTCACAGTAAACTAACCATTTGCGTCAGGAGGATGGACGTAGGATCCACAGTGCATTAGCCACTACTGCCCACAGGATGGATATTGTGTGAACAATAAAGTAGCCACTACTGTTCACAGGATGGATATTGTGTGAACAATAAAGTAGCCACTACTGTTCACAGGATGGATATTGTGTGAACAATAAAGTAGCCACTACTGTTCACAGGATGGATATTGTGTGAACAATAAAGTAGCCACTACTGTTCACAGGATGGATATTGTGTGAACAATAAACTAGCCACTACTGTTCACAGGATGGATACTGTGTGAAGAATAAACTAGCCAGTATCGTCCACAGGATAGATATGGGTTGCACAGTAAACTGTCCACTGCTTCTCACAGGATGGACATGGGGCTCATTATCGTTCACATGATATAGAAAGCGCAATAAACTAGCCACTACCTTCCACAAGATGTATATACTAGCCGCTTCCGTTCTCAGGATGGCTACGGGGTGCTTAATAAATTAGCCACACTGTTCACGGGATGAACATCGAGTGCACAATAAACTACCCACTGTCATCCACATGTGTGCTCAATAAAGTCGCCCTTGCCTTCCTCAAGATGGATGTTGAGCTCAAAACGAGCTAGCCTTTGGATATACAGTAAACTACCAGCTACCATCTAGAAGTTAAATACGAGGTTCACGATACATTAGCCACTAACATCCACAGGATGGATAGGGACTGCACAATAAATTTAATATTTCCGTCCACCGCATGGCTATAGGGTGTATGAAAAACTAGCCACTACCATCCACACGTTAAATGTAGTGTGCTCAATAAACTACAGTAGTATGGATATTAATTGGGAGAGTGATGAAATAAGCCATTTATTTGAAAAAAGTAATGTTTATTTGAAAAATATACGGCAATGGTTTGATAGATAATTGACTAATTAAGAGATATAACTACCCTTTGTTTTTATAAGCATTGCTTCAAGCTCTGGTGTAGAATCGACCAATGTTGACCACATTTTGCAAGTTCTTCGTCGTGGTACCCGGTCCTAATAACAGTAGCAATTAGCCTCTCCACAGCTGAGCATTTTTCTGGAGGAATGGCATGGAGGAAGATCCTGCTGAAAAATTCCTTCTCCATCAGGAAATTTTCTATATACAATGTGAAGAAAAGGAGTTGCCAAGATTGCCTTCTGTTTGTCACTGTTCATCGTTTCCTCAGCAATAACAAGCAGTCCAGGGTCTATAGCAGTAAAAGAACCCCAAGACATATTAGCTGTGTGTTTTGAGGTCTGTTGTTGAATGTGTTCATTCTGAACAGGTTCGCATTTAATCTATCTTACTACCACTGATCTGTACCCATGTGCTTCAAAATGCGCCAATCTGAAAATATAACTTTTCTCCATTTATCTGTCGTCTATCGCTTATGATCGAGTGGCCACCGCAGCCGTTTTTTCTTCATAGCATCAGTTAATAACTGTTTCTTTACCGGTTTTCTGGCAGGTCTGCCTTCGTCGAACAGTTGAAGAATCAACACTTATGCCAGCTGAGGTCAAGTCTCTAAGTAGATCATTTCTGGTTATATCTATTATGATAATCTTGTCATCGTCTAGTGTACACATCTTCCTCGACTCAGTGTTCCAAAATCATCAGTGTCATCAGCTCTCTTCAGAATCTTACGAACAACTGACTTTGCTAGGCTCAAATTTTCAGTGATATCCCGGATCAGCGATCTCAAATCAGCATGTTTACCAAGAGCTACAGTACTTGCAAGCTTCCTAGGTGCATCATCTATCATGAATTTTAACAGAAATCATGAACTAAAGGGAAGAATTTGCTGAAACCATGTTCACTCACAGAGCACGCTTGCAGAATAGCTTTACAGAACAACAGCTGTAGTAGCACTGTCGAGAGTAGCAGTGTAACATCACAGCTGGAGGGTTGTCAAAAGTCGGTAGCAAACTCTTCTGAAAAGAAAATAACCCATACTACATTAATTAAGCCGGAGGGTAAGACATATTGTGAGATAATCACAAAAAGTTCTCCTGTCCCAATTAATTTCCATACTACTGTAGCCACTACCGTCATCAGGATGCGTATGACGTGCAGGATAAACTAGTCACTATCGTAAACAGGATAAATATGGAGGTGTACTACCATCCACACAATGGATATTGTGAGCTCAGTAAACTAGCCATTATCGTCTTCAGGATGAATATGGGGTGCAAAATAAATTTGATATTGCCATCCACAGGATGTTTATGGATTGCACAAAAATCTAGCCACTATCGTCTATAGGACAGTTATTCGAGCACAATAAACTAGCCACTACAGTCCACAGGATGGATATGGGGAGTACAGTAAAGTAGCCACTACCGTCCACAGAATGGATATGGAGAGTACAATAAACTAGCCACTACAGTCCTCAGGATGTACATGGAGAGTACAATAAACTAGCCACTACTGTCTACATGATGGATATGGGGACAATAAAAATCTAGCATATTTGGCAGCAAAATTTAAAAGTCCCTGAACATATTTATTTAAAGACCAAGTACATTCTTCACTTACCCTGAAGAAATTTATCCTGACGTTAAGATCCCGGATAAAATGATGGAGTGCAGTGGGTGCAGGATGAGTGCACATCTGTAACCAGCAGTGTGGAGTGTGACCCAGTGCTACTGCCGATATTACTGCCTCGTTCCCGTAACCTCGCCCGCTGCCACCCTGTAGTTACCAACAAAATAATATTATTATTATTATTATTATTATTATTATTATTATTATTATTATTAGCAGCAGCAGCAGCAGCAGCAGCAGTAATATTAACATTATTATCATTATTATTATTATTATTATTTTTATTATTATTATTTTTATTATTATTATTATTATTATTATTATTATTATTATTATTATCATTTTATTATTATAAAACACAACGACCGCCTCTTGCCGAGTTAGGGTGACCAGAAAAAAGAAATCCACCATTATTCATTTAGTGACTGCCTTTATAAAGCATGCTGACATCACATCTCAGTTGACCTTGTGAACTGCAACATTTCCATCCCTCCTTCCCTCCACCTGTACATCCCGCCTCCGTGATTCAAGTCTGGCTAACTGGTTTCCATGAATCCCTTTATAAATGTTACCTTGTTCACACTCCAACAGTACGTCAAATCATTAACCCTTGCTTCCACTCCTATCTAACTTGTTGTAACAGGAATGTTTGATGTTCATGCCCCTAGTACAATAAGCCCATTTTGCTCGGTCTTCTCTATATGTCCAAACAAACTTACCACCCATCTGGTGTAGTGGATAGGATACCTGGCTTTCACCCAGGAGGTCTGGGTTCGATTCCTGGCATGGGAAGCAGTTTTTTTTACACTACGCAAATAACATCTTTGAGTGTGAAGGGTATAAACTACCATGCCCCGAGTGAGGATCGAACTCACGACCTTGAGATTATGAGACTCATGCGCTGCCTACTGCACTATCGAGGCTTGTCAGAGTTGTACCTGATAATATATCCTAAGTGTTTGTTTGGGAGGCCTGGTCATGCACCAGGTCACGGAGGCGTTGATCCCCAAAACCCTCTCCAGGTATAATTCAAGTATACTCCTCCTCCGGGGCCTTTTTGGTAATACTTTTGGTAACCAGGCTGTGCAGCCAACAGCAACAGCCTGGTTGATCAGGCTCTGATCCACCAGGAGGCCTGGTCACAGACCGGGCCGCGGGGGCGTTGACCCCCGGAACTCTCTCCAGGTAAACTCCAGGTAAACTCCCCACCGATTTCCAATCTCCAAGCTCCGATTTCTCTACATAATATTCATACCACACATCTCTCCCAAACTCCCTAATATTTAAGCACATTTTCTTCCTCCTAACTTCCCTCTTCCACCAAGTTGATATCCAGTCTTTCACTGCTAGTCTTACCTTGCTCTTCCTTGTGTTTATTTTTTATTTCCTTCTTTTACATACCCTCTCAAATTCGTCCACCAACCTTTCCAACTTCTTGTCATAATCTCCCAGAAGAACAATGTTATTTGCAAAGAATAAGTATATTTAAGTACAGGTACACATAAGTACAATTATCGTACCTAGTAACATATGTGCTAATTACCTAGGGTAACCAAAAAAAGTCAAAGTAACCTTTTTCCCTTGGGTTTTTATATCTTATTACTTATAACCTAGCTAAAAGAAACAGTAGCAATCAGTCATGATTATAACCATAAAAATTAAAACAGCTAAGTAACTGAACTGTGTGAAAATCAGTTACAGTAAAAGAAGGTGGAACAGGAATAAATATACGAATGTTGATTATACATGAAATCACTCTCCTCCCTTTCTGTAGTTTCATTCATTACGTACTTTTTAGCACTTATCCTGAACTGGCTCATGCTAAGACTGTCTTCAACATATTCAGGCTATCCATTCCACTCCTTTATTGCTATATAATAAAAGGTGTTTGAGGCTTGCACACTTACTGTAGGTACTACAAAACTGAGCTCACTCTCCCTAGTATCACTCTTTCTTCAACATTCATCGTATCCAGCTGTTGTAATTCATTATGGCCAACATGCTCTCTTTAACAAAGGTTCAGGATGAATCTTACTATTTTGTTCTGGATGACTTGTAATCTATCTCTCTTTTTTTTATTAAGGCAGACTACCATGAAGAAGACTAATTTACATGACATTGCATAAGAAGCGTTAGACATAGGGTCCTGCGAGCCTCAGTAGGTAGACGCAGTGACTGTCTACCTGGAGTTTACCTGGAGAGAGTTCCGGGGGTCTAGAGTTGAACTTTAGCCCGGCATTCGCTTTCTTTTATTACATGGTTCCGTTCGCTATTAATTCTCCTGACATACTTGGGAAATGGAAATTCCCAGATATTTTACTGAAGTGTAAGGTTCCCCATTACATTAGACATTATAAGTGTTTACCCTTTTCATTTTATTTTTCGTGCCAAAGCGTATGACTGCAGTTTTCGTGAGGTGCAGTGATAGTTTGTTGTCTACAAACCATTTACTGTAAGAATAGTTCTAGTGACAGTACATTAGCTATATCTTGTGGGTCTTTACATGACACCATCAGAGCACTGTCATCTGCATGCAACAGAAGCTTACACTTCACACTGATGGGCATCACATAACAAAGAAAAAATAAGGGACTCATAATACTACCTCGGTGAACCCCGCATGCTATCGGCAAGGGTTCTGATTCTGTATTATTGTTCTCGTCAATTTATTTCTTTTGCTCAGGTAGTCTACAGAACCTATGCCGATAACTGTACTTTCTTACATAATATATTATGGTTAACTGCATTGAATTCTTTTTGCAAGATCAAGGTTACCAAATCTGAGATTCCCTAGCGACATTTGAGTTCTCAGGTAGTCCATCAAATTAATTAGGGAGATATCGGTCAGGTAAGATCTCCTGAAACCCGTTTGGTAACTATGGAGAATGGTTTTGTCATTAAGATACTTAGGCAGTTGACAATACACCACTTTCTCTAAAATTTTGGGCATCATACTGACTATACTAACAGGCCTATAGTTGCTGAAGTCACACCTACTGTTTTTCTTGAAGATCGGAGTCACTCTGGCCTCCTTTGATCTTTCTGGAACGGTATTGGTGATGAACAAATTTATTATGAGTACAATGGGTATTAGTAATTCAGAAGCACCATCTTTCAGGAATTTGACTGAGATGTTATCTGGCCCTCTGCTTTTAGATGGATTTAGTACTTTTCACACGAAGTCATAAGATACATCTAATCATTGTAAAGTGTAGTAATTTTTAGCTTAAGCAACTGGCAGTGTACTGACTAATGTTGATGCAACAGTTGAGTAGATTGAATTGAAATAATTTACCACTTCAGTTATTTCATGGCATACCTCATTATCAATGTATAGCACCATGTTACCACTATGTTAGGGTCTATGGGTATACCCCAGTGTTTGAAGTTATTGCCTAATATTTCCTGGATTATTCTTGTGAAATTCATGTAGCGCTGCAACATCCTGCCTGTTTGCCCTATATCTTTTTAACAACTGATCCCTGAATTTGATAATACCTAATATCTCAGTTATTATTATTCCGATTAAAACGTGTTACATAAATTACATAACACTGAACGGCTTCAAATTCATTATGTGATGCATCATACTACTAATATGGAATTCATTATAATTTGTTTGTGTGTGTGTGTAAATTAATTAATAATCAGATTAATTACCAGAGAATGCCTTTTCTGACTTTGTGTAAACTTTCACACTTGGTGGTGGTTATTATCAGGACGCTTGACCTTCACTTTGACCTCCGTAAATTTCAATTTGCTGTCACATTTTTTTAATAAATTGTTTCCTATGTAATAACTAGAGAATGCCTCTTAAGAACATAAAAACATAAGAAAGAAGGAACACCGCAACAGACCTACTGACCCATGCGGAGCAGGTCCATGTCCCCCCCCCCCGCGGGATTAGCCCAATGATCCAATCAGTCTGGTCACCTCCACTCAAGGAAGGAGCACGGCAGCAGACCCAGCAGCACAAGCTAGTCAGATCCAACTCACACCCACCCACATCCACTCATGTATTTATCTAACCTATTTTTAAAACTACACAACGTTTTAGCCTGAATAACTGTACTCGGGAGTTTGTTCCACTCATCCACAACTCTATTACCAAACCAGTGCTTTCCTATATCCTTCATGAATCTGAATTTTTCCAACTTGAAACCATTGCTGCGAGTCCTGTCTTGGCTGGAAATTTTCAGCACGCTATTTACATCCCCTTTATTTATTCCTGTTTTCCATTTATACACCTCGATCATATCCCCCCTAATTCTACCCCTTTCGAGAGAGTGCAGATTCAGGGCCCTCAGTCTACCCTTATAGGGAAGATATCTGATACATTGGATCATCTTCTAATCAGTTTCAATCATAAACATTAACATATGTTAATTGCAAATATTTTTGTATTGTTTCTGGGATGCATAAATACCAATTTGTTAATTTTTAAAGAATTTTATTAAATCTAATTTTCTTGTAAAATTAAGATACAAATTTTTTTCTTAAAGGAAAAAAACCGTGATTTTATTTTTTTTTTAATTTAATGAGGATAGACTTTCCTGGAAATAGGAGATAAGTTTAGTTTCAAAGTTGGTTTCCTAATGGAATATTTCAATTAGATTTGGGCTGTGTATGTTCTAATTTGCCATTTATATTAAAGGTATTGGGATTTTAATTTCCATATGATGACTAGTGAGTGCCTATTTAAATGCGTTACAAATTTATACCACACACTCTACTCTTTTAGTTGCATGTAATGAGATACAGGGGACTGGAGTTATGTTATATATGTATTGCTTTCTGGAGTCGGGCAGCAACAGGAATATATTTGCGTATTATTATTATTATTATTATTATTATTATTATTATTATTATTATTATTATTATTATTATTATTATTATTATCAATTATTATTATGGAACAAAACAGAATGACTTCGAGAGTGTATAAATCTGTAGTGGAGGGAAGGCGGGGTAGGGGTCGGCCTAGGAAAGGTTGGAGGGAGGGGGCAAAGAAGGTTTTGTTTTGGAGGGGCTTGGACTTCCAGCAAGCGTCCGTGAGCGTATTTGAGAGGAGTGAATGGAGACAAATGGTTTTTAATATTTAACGTGCTGTTGGAGTGTGAGCAAAATAACATTTATGAAGGGGTTCA